CCGATACAGCCCTCCTATACACAAATGATAAAAGGGCTGAGAAAGAAGTCAGAGAAACATCACCCTTTACAATAGTCACAAATAATATAAAATACCTTGGGATAACACTAACTAAACAAGTGAAGGACCTTTTTGATAAGAACTTTAAATCTCTAAAGAAAGAAATTGAAGAAGATATCAGAAAATGGAAGGATCTCCCATGCTCATGGATAGGTAGGATTAACATAGTAAAAATGGCAATCTTACCAAAAGCAATCTACAGATTCAATGCAATCCCCATCAAAATCCCAACACAATTCTTCACAGACTTGGAAAGAAAAATACTCAACTTCATATGGAAAAACAAAAGACCCAGGACAGCTAAAAGAATCCTGTATGATAAAGCAACCTCTGGAGGCATCACCATCCCTAACCTTAAGCTCTACTATAGAGCTATAGTAACAAAAACAGCTTGGTACTGGTATAAAAACCGACATACAGACCAATGGAATCGAATTGAAGACCCTGACATTAATTCATGCACATATGAACACCTGATTTTTGACAAAGAAGCCAAAACTATACAATGGAAAAAAGAAAGTTTCTTCAACAAATGGTGCTGGCATAACTGGATGGCAATATGTAAAAGATTACAAATAGATCCATATCTATCACCATGCACAAAACTCAAGTCCAAGTGGATAAAAGACCTCAACATAAATCCAGTTACACTAAACTTAATAGAAGAGAAAGTAGGAAGTACTCTTGAATGCATTGGCACCAGAGACCACTTCCTAAATATAACACCAACAGCACAGACCCTGAGCACAACAGTTAATAAATGGGACCTCTTGAAACTGAGAAGCTTTTGCAGGGCAAAAGACATGGTCAATAAGACAAAAAGACAGCCTACAGAATGGGAAAAGATCTTCACCAACCCCACATCTGACAGAGGATTGATCTCCAAAGTATATAAAGAACTCAAGAAACTAGACATCAAAATACTGAACAATCCATTTGAAAAATGGGCTAAAGAGTTAAACAGAGAATTCACAAAACAAGAATCACAAATGGCTGAAAGACATTTAAAGAAATGCTCAACATCCTTAATTAACAGAGAAATGCAAATCAAAATGACTCTGAGATACCACCTTACACCTATCAGAATGGCTATGATCAAAAACACTAATGACAGTCAATGTTGGAGAGGATGTGGAGCAAAGGGAACACTCCTCCACTGTTGGTGGGAATGCAAGCTTGTACAACCACTGTGGAAATCAGTATGGCGGTTTCTCAGAAAGTTAGGAATCAAACTACCTCAAGACCCAGCCATATCACTCTTGGGCATATACCCAAGGAACCATACCACAAAGATACATGCTCAGCTATGTTCATAGCAGCACTATTTGTAATAGCCAGAACCTGGAAACAACCTAGATGCCCATCAACTGAAGAATGGATTAAGAAAATGTGGTACATATACACAATAGAGTACTACTCAGCAGAGAAAAACAATGAAAGCGTGAAATTTGCAAGCAAATGGATGGAACTAGAAAAAAATCATCCCGAGTGAGGTAACCCAAACCCAGAAGGACAAACATGGTATGTACTCACTCATAAGTGGATACTAGATATAAAATAAAGATCAGACTACAACCCACAGAACCATAGAGACTATATATATATATATATATATATATATATATATATATATATATATATATATATATATATATATCTCATGGGGGACCCTTGGACGACTGTGGCTTATAATAAGTTTTGGTTTTACTCAATTACTGAGCAAGCCTCAATGAAACATTTCACAATTGAGATGGGAATACATACTGTATCAAGCTGATAATAGAAAGGTGGATAAATTGATTAATTTGAAAAAGTGAAAAATGAAAAAAACAAAAAAAAGAAAGAAAGAAAAATTTGAACTGTTTAAAAAGGAGCCAAACAAACATATTTTCCTGGAGTAAAAAAAGGGGGGGGGGGGGACTGGGGACTTATCATTCCTCTCCACATTCTATTCTTTCCCTTGTTTTATATATTTTAAATTTTTTATCGGTGGATTCTGCTGGAGTATACACTGAAGATAAGCACTGGAGGTCTCCTGTTGCAAATCACCCTCTGGAACGATGGAAGGATCTTTCTACTAGCACTTGAAGGAGACCTGATCTGGTGTTGGTGTAGGCCCGGGGTTCTGTTTACGTCTTTACTCAGGACAATGAGGTTCCTCTTTGGATTCCTGAGCGCTGTGTTCACCCTGTGACTGCTGCTGAAACCCAACATGACAGAGACCTATTGGGCCTTAATGAAAACTCTCCACTTCTGATGCCAATGGGGATTGAGAGCCCAATATGGCCAGCTTTGGCAAGCATTAACATAAGCCTAGGAACTGTAGCCATGCTTTTGGATTCTCCAGAAGAGCTGCCAGCCTAAGTCGTGCTGGGATCAAGAAAAATGGGCCTTGGAGGTTCGTGTTCCTAGAGTTGTATCCATGCCAGTGGATGCCCACATGCTCCAGAAGAGAATTTGACATTGCTGCTGCTGTTGTTGCTGTTATAGCAGTGGTGGCCACCACTGCTACTGTTTCTGGGATTACCATTTCATAATTGCTTACTACAGCCAGCACAGTGGAGACCCTGGCATCAAAAGTAGCTACAACAGTTAATTAATCTTTCATTCTATTGGGCATGATAAATTTAATTCAATAGTTATATATATTTCGATTGGCTTTGAAAATTATAAATTTATAAACTCAAGTTCCACTTGCTTCGGGGATACCATCTTACAAGGACTCCAACTTGCAGTAAGGCTCGTTAAGGAAGGAAATGGCTCAGTTCCTTTAGCCTACTGGCTATGGGTGGGATAGGACTTCTGGTCTTTTCTGTATCGAACACACAGATTGCAAGCCCAGTGCCACTTTGAGATCTTTGGCAGCAGTTAACTCTGCAACTCACACACGATTGAGCCTATATGATAATGAGTATTCAGAGACGGGTAATGGCGTCTCCATAAAGGCGTGCGCCACCACCGCCCGGCCCAGAAGCTCATTTTTTAGTAAAAGGGGGACCTGTAGGGTCCTGGCCCCCGTTTTGGGTAACTTGCCTTGCTTGCTAACCTTGACCTTGATATCCTCCCTATGCTAATTCCCTGCCGGGTTCCACCCTCCTGAATGCTTAAGGGAAGTTCCTTGTCTGTATATCCTGCATAATGGGTGTTAACAGCTTAGACGCAAGATTGTAAAACATCGGTAGCGAACTTCCGCCCTCCAGGGTTCTCCCATTGTGCTGTAAGCCTGTATTTAAGACCTCTTCCCTCCTTCAATAAACAGCATTCAGCATTAAAAAAAAAAAAAAAGAAAAGAAAATTCACACAAAAAAAGGAAATCTATAAAACAAGAGAAAATATTTCTAAGGACCATATCTGGCAACAGGTTAATTTCCAAGACTTTTGGTATTGTTTGTAGGTTCAGCCTTTTCTTATATCTATATGCCTCAGCATACTGTCATGAAGTTCTCTTCATTTTAGCACCTTATCTAGCTCTGGTGTTAGAATGATGATTTCAACATAAAATATCCTGAAAATGTACATTCCTCCTCTACTTTTGGAACACTTACTCTTTTTGAAAATTTGTTCACATTCTTCAGAAAGTATGTAACATCCTAGATTTTGCTTCATTGAGAGATATTTGGTGGCTAACTCATTTTTTCAGATGCAATCTGTTTAGATGTGTAGATATTCTGCTTCTTTATCTTATACTTAGAATTCTGTGTATCCACTGAATTTATCCTGTATTAGCAGTAATCTAACGTTTAAATTACTCATATTAGTATAATAATCCTTTGTGTTATCTCTGGGGCATCAATTTGATTGTCAATGCTTTTATTTATTATTACTTTTTTTTTGGTTTTTCGCTATTATTACTTTTTAATGATTATCTCCTTTTCTTATTTTAGGGAGATGTGTTCAGTGGGGGTAGAGGAGTTGGAGAGATAGATATGATCAAGACTCACTGCATACATGTAAGAAAAATTTAAAGTATAAAAAGAAATTTGTTAAATGCTAATCTTAATGTAAGTTCTTATCACAATAAAGACCACATCAAATTAAAAAAAAAAGAGGAAACCAAAAAAAAAAAAAAAAAAAAAAAAAAGCCGTTCTCACAAGGTAACAGAAGGTCTCCCGCCTACATATTTCTCTTGGTCGGACACTGTTCAGCGGCGCCTCTAGCATTCACTCCTCTTTGCCACATCCACCGAGAATTCAGATAGCACGTCCTCTTGGGTAGCACTGTGCGTCTGGAACGTGCAAAGATGGCGGCATGGTCCTTCCAGAGCTGGCTGCGGAGACAATCAAGGGCAACGCTTACACAGTGTTAAATAAGCTTCAATAAAGGGATGCATTGCGAAAGGCGTTTGGAAGAAGAGGATACTGCACCGCTGCTGAACTGGGACGAAAATTTAAAGTGCAGTCAGTAGCTTTGGGTCTACCACCCCTATAGATGTCACTCTCACTATAGGTATCTCCGCGGCGCCCTCATCGGGGTCCAGACACAGGGCGAGGTGGCCCCCTTGAGGTCCAGGATAGTTTTCCCTTGGTGGACACTTTCCGGATACACTATAGTCAAGACCCTCGCGTACTTGAGGTCACAGAATCTACTGCTGTTGATGAGACCAGGGAAGGGTAGTGATGAATGGAGCTCATCCTACAACCAGACCCGGGATGCATCAGGCTCAGAGGAGATCAGGAGGCTCTGCAGCAGGGTGGGAGACCGCAACTGCGTCCGGAGCCCGCAATGAGGACCAGGCGGACAGCCGACTGGGAGGGGAGCACACGAAGCGGGGTGCCGGGGGCTCGGAGAGGACTGTGGTCCCACACATAACCAGGAGGTCTAAACATGGGGTACCGACGGCCGCCGCCCAGCCTGCGTGTCACAGAGCCTCCCGAAGCTGCCTTACCCCAGTCCCAGACAACTGTCAGCCACTCGCCCCTGGCGCCATCCAAGCGCTCCCTGAGACTTCCGGCGCGTCCATGGCGTCATCTGTGCCCGCGATAAGGATAACTTTCGTCGGAAGTGTGGCCCGAGGTCGGAAATCATCGGGATGGCACTCTTGCGCCTGTAGGACGTTCTGTTTTGTTTTGTTCTCACCTATTTTCGTTGATTTTATTTCTCTTTTCCCCCCTTCTCTTTTAACATGTCTCCCTCCCTCCTCCTCTCCGATCCCTTCCTTTCTTCCTTCCCACCTTTACTATTACTTGACATTTTCCTACGTGTGTACAACAATCTTGGTCATTCCCCCCCAACCCCGACTGCTCTCATCCCCCTCCTACCGACTCCCTTCATTTCACCAAACCCCCATCCCATTTTCGTGGCTTTTAGTTGATTCGTGTGGGTAGGTTTGTTTGTTATTACCCACTGAGTTTAATTCGGATTTCTTGTATGAACATGGTTAGAAAAGCTATTTTCTTTTTCTTTTAAAAATTTTATATCGGGGTTGGGGATTTAGCTCAGTGGTAGAGCGCTTGCCTAGCAAGCGCAAGGCCCTGGGTTCGGTCCTCGGCTCCAAATATATATATATATATATATATAAACTAAGGTCTCCACTAGGCATAGTGGCTCAGGCCTTTAATCCCAGCACTCAGAGGGCAGAGGCAGTTGCATCTCTTTGAGTCTAAGGCCAACCTGGTCTACATAATGAATTCCAGGCCAGCCATGGATACATACCTAGAGCTTGTATAAAACAAAACAAATGAGCAAACAAAACTGAAGTCCCACGGCATTATACCAGGCTGGCCTTGAGCTTTTGTATCTCCTTGTCTCACCCAACACAGGAACTGAAATTTTCTAGCACTTTTGCAAAAAAAAAAAAAAAAAAAAAGGAGAAGACTGTCTTGGTCTGGTGCAGGAGTACCGCTGGGCTGTACAAAACAGCCTGGGCCTTCTCTGTGTCCTGGGAGGAGCTTGGTAGTGGCTCCTGACAACCCAGTAGGTGCCCTAGACAGTGGCATCTGTGTCTTACAGGTGGACAGTTTACTCACTGTCAGCCACATCCTTGGGACCTGGCCAGCATCTTCCACTACAGAAGCCATATGTCCCCATTTGAGTCAGATTCTGCTGTATCCATGCCCCTTGCTCCTGCCATCTCTGTGTACAGCTCTGAACATCCTCCCTGTGGGGGGCAGTGACTAGTGTTTGGCCAGAATCCTTGAGGATAAAAGGGCTATTTTGATAATAGGCAGGCTTGGGGTGAGAAGAGCTACTTCCAAACATAGCACCGAGAAGGTCCCTGTGAATGTTGCTTTGCTCTGAATGCCTGCAGGTCCTCTAAGAACTATTCTTGACACCTCTGAAAAACAGGTCCCTTTGAGGAAAAATGTCTGATCTCTGGCCACCTACCTCAAAGCTCACTTTTCCTGTTTGCTTTGCTGCCTACCCCAGCTTCTTGATTCCTTTTTCCTTTTAGAAAAAGAAAATTGTACCTTTCTAAATATATTGCATCCGAGGCCTTTGCAAACTTGGGAACACAGAACGGGCAGCCGTGGTGAGACCTGGAAGAATGGTTGCATACAGAGATCATCTCCATCCACAGTAGGTAGGCTGGATCTCATCAAGGTCTCCAGCAGAGTCCAGCCTGCCGCTTATCACTTAGCTGATAATTATTTTGAATTTTCTTTTTTCCCTCACATCAATGCAGAGCTTTATTCCCATCTCTTTCTGGTTTTCTCCAGATAGTTTCAGTTCAGACTAAACTTGAATCTCAGGTTTAGTCATCCATTTTGTCTTGTATTTTGTTGCCTTTCATTAAACACACAGAGAAGGGGGTAGAATGGAAATGAGTCAAATTATCCCAGACAAAATCTTTGGTGGCCATCTCTTCCAAATCACACTCCCATGATGGAATTATCCTTATTTAGTAGGTGTCCTGCAAACTACTTTCTTTTTTTCATAGGGGAGACAACTTCTCATTGTGTACCCCAGGCTGGCCTTGAATTAGTCCTCCTGGGTTCTGCTTCATGAATGCAGGGATTACAGGCCTGGCCAAGACTCATTTTGCATTTATGTATATGTGTTCATTCAGTAAACACATATTGACTAATAAGTGCCAGCTGCTGTTCTAGGTCAAGGGAACATAGCAGTCAAGTGAAGAAGTTGCTGGCATTGGGACTGGGGCTACTGTAGGTAGCCAGTTGGTAGAGCCAGGGTTCCATCACAAGAACCATATAGAACCTAGCACATGCATATAATGCCACTACTGAGGAGGTGAAGACAGAAAGAGTATAAGTTTAAAGTCATCCTAAGCTACAGGACAAGTTCGAAGCCACCCTGGGTTACATGAGACCCTGCACTTGGCCTGTGGGCCACAGGTTGGATACACCTATCTCTAGACAGATCTAAATTTTTGTTTGTTTGTTTTTGTTTTTTCCGGAGCTGAGGACTGAACCCAGGGCCTTGCACTTGCTAGGCAAGCACTCTACCACTGAGCTAAATCCCCAACCCCCAGATCTAAATTGTTAAGGTTAGTGAGTACACCTGTTTTTTCACCTCCAAAATAGTGGATTTAACATTTAACTGTGGGCAGTTAGTCGTGATGGCATACGCTTTTAAAACCACCACTCCAGAGGGAGGCAGAGGTGGGTGAATTTCTGTAAGTTAAAGGCCAGCCTGATCTACATAGTGAGTTCCAGGACAGAAAAAGCACATAGTGAGACCCAGTCTGGAAAACAAAACAAAATAAAAACATTCTTACTGTGGGACATTATGTTCTCTCCTACTTTGTAATACATTTTTTTTTTTTGCTGGGGTGGGGGTTGAGACATTTTCTCTGTGTAGTCCTAGTTGTCCTAGGACTCAAACAGAGATCTGCCTGCTTCTGCCTCTGCAGTACTGGGTTTAAAGGTGTGGACCACCACTGCTTGGCGACTTTGTAGTTACAGGTAGTTTTTCCATGATATATTTATAGCTTTAAAAAATATATAGCCCGATCTGGTAGTACAGTCCTGTGACCCCAGAGCAGGGTACAGAGGAAGGAGGCTCATGAGGGTGAGGAAGAGAATCATGAGTTTGAAGTTGCCATGGACCACATGGATGCTGTCCTGTAATCCCAGCAGGTTGATTGAGGTTGAGGTCATCAGGAGGTTGAGATATCAAGGGAAACTCAGGTTCTGTATAACAGAACCCTGTCTCTAAAGTCCAAGTTCTAGATAAATTTCTCAGTGCTTTGCTGGCTTTTGAAAATCAAGTGCTTCTCGAGCTTTCTTTTTCCTCTCTGCCCCTCAGAACTTCCAGTCACAAACACTGGGTCTGTTTTATAAGAGCTTAGGAAAAAAAACACAGAAGCCCAAATCCAAGGATTTTACTCAAGTCTTCTAGAAAGGATTGAGTTGCCTTTGATGCGTGGCGCAAAGAATTCTCCTTAGAATTATTCTTAGACCTTCCTGTCAACCTCTGAAACTGGACCTGTGATATCAAGTTGGTTTTCTTTAACCTGTCATGAGATCAGTTGACAAGATCAACTTTTACACCATGATCTCTTGTCCCTGGGAGGAATGTCTGAGGCAATGTGGAAATGGGATAAAGACTTCTTAGCTGGGCTGGGGGACATGGCTCAGATGGTGAGTACTTGCCACTTAAAAAATCAAGCATAGCCAGGTATAATGGCACATGCCTTTAATCACAGCACTTAGAAGGCAGAAGCATGGGGGTTTTTTGTGAGTTCAAGGCCAGCCTGGTTTCCATAGTGAGTTCCATGACACCCAGGGCTGTGTATAGAAACCCTGTTTCTGGGGGAGGTGGGAGCCAGGCATGGTATCATGCCTCTGTAATCCTAGTACTGGCAAGCCAGAATCAGGAAGATCAAAGGGACTGGCTGACTAGCGTATCTAGGCTGATGGGTGAACTTCATGTCCCAGTGGAAAACTCTTTAAAAAGAAAAAGAAAGTGGGGACTGGAAAGATGGCCCAAGGGGTAAGAGAGCTTGTTTTGCAACCTTGAGGACCAGAGTTTATGTCCCAGTTATTCCTATACCAAGGCAGAGGTGGTACCCTGTGGGCTTTCAACCCCAGCCCTGAGGGGTTGGAGACAAGAGGATCACTGGGGCTTGCTGGTTGTCAGCCTAGCTGAAAAAAAAAAAAACACAAAAGTTCCTGTTCAGTAAGAGATGCTGCTTCCAAGAAATAAGTGGAAGGTGGTAGAAAATGACAGAGGGAATCCTCATCTAGTCTCTATATACACACAGGTGTGTGAGCCCCGTTACACATGTGCATGTACAACACACACACACACACACACACACACACACACACACACACACACACACACACACACACAATTTTAAAATATAAAGACAAAGTGGGTGTCTCCTGAGGAACGAGGTTGACCTCTGGCCTCTACACACATGCTCACAAGCACACAGAGACCTAGAGATTCTATAGCTGTTCACTCGGGAAACATGTATTGGTCATGGGGAATTTTTCCATGGGAAAACAGATGGGTGCATGGAGGAATGTAATAGAAATTCATTTCTTGGTGGGTGCTTTTCTGGTGTGTTTTGGTTTGTCATGATATCAATAGCAACTATTTTAATGTCTCACTCATAGTAGATGCTCAATACAAATGGGCTGGATGGGGAGGGGTGGTTATACCTGATGAAAATCTATACCGCAGAAAATACTCAAACAGGGCCTGCCAGGTGGCTCAAAGGTGCTGGCTGCCCTAACAACCCGAGTTTCATCCCCAGAACCCACATAATGGTAGGAGAGAATTGACCCCCACAAGTTATTCTCTGACCTACACACACACACACACACACACACACACACACACACACACACACACACACAGACACACACACACACACACACACACACACACTAGAAAAGAGCAGAACAAAAATTACTCTGGCCAGTAGGTGGTGCCACCGTGTGTTGCTGTTCTCTGGCTTGTGTCACAGCTTGTGGGTGTCCAAGCCACACTTTGGAATTTCCACTTTCCTTTGTTTCTTCGACTGGTGCAGTGTGCTTCAGAACCTCACCACCGAGGCTCCTAAGCACCTTGACGGTGAGGTTCCTAAAAGTGGATGGTGAGGACAGAATCTCTATTTTGGGTCTCACTTTGGGCTG